ACGTATATTAATATATTGGAATAAAAGTAATTGAAATAATTTTATATTAATTCCAATCATACGATAAAAGTAGAAATAATAAAAAAAAAAAAAAAGAAAAAAGGAAAGTTCTTAAAATACGAAACTACCATCCCAATTATATCGAAATCTAAAAGAGATTCGGGCAAAGAGGTAAGTAAATATTTTATTTCATTCCCAATCTCCGAATGTGCGATCGATCCAAGGAAAGACCACCACGATGATTTATTTCCGATCTACGAATTTATATAGAACGCATTTATCTTCTCAACCTTTTCCTCTACCCAACAGAAATCTTATAAATATATATATGTAAAAATGTCTTTATAGGATGTGAACCTAAATGTTAAGAGAAAGGATTCATTTTCTAATGGAATATTTCGGTGAAGAAATAAATGTAATCCAACAAAAAAAATATATACAAAAAATTACATTATTTCATATACAATTTTGCAATGCACTCCGATCACGATACCTCTAATTTAAAAACTTATTGATCAAACTTTATTAAAATGTTAAATCAATTTTGAGAAAATTAATATTAAAATTAAATTAAATTATAATCTAAACTTAAAAATAGCAATAAAAAAAAAAGCTATTATAACAGAACAAAGTACTAATAAAATGAGGAAGAAAAAGAAGAAATTAAATAAAATAAAATAAAATTAAATTATATTAAATTAAATTAAATTAAATTAATTAATTAATTCGATCTCGCATATTACATTTTACAGGGATAAGGGGGGAGAAAAAAAATGTGAAAAATAAAAAATAAATCGCGAAATGTTCCTGTCGAATATACGAAAGTAGTAGTCTATCTTTCAGTGTATGGTCGAACGAATTGAAAATGCAACGAATACAGATAACGATAAGGGTGGGTATAAGGGATGGGGGTAATAAAAGAAAAAAAAATCGAAATGTAGAGTCATCAGCGAAGTCTGGTGATAGCACTCGCACTGTAATTAGTAGGTTGCCTGGTGAGGAGGAGGAGGAGGGGGGGGGTGGGCTGGTTGGTTGGTTGGTTGGTGGGATAGCGAAACTCGAAAATAGTCCGGGCTGAGTTAGCCACTTTAATCAATACCGTGCAAATAGCCGAAGGACTTTCCGACTTGGCCCATATTTCCTTTTTATCTCGAACTAACGTCCTATTATTTTTCCTTCCCTTATTCTTCTTCTTTTTCTTTTTTTTCTTTTTTTTTAATCAAATACAAGATAAAAGTATATATCTTAGATTTTGTATACGTTTCATTTATCGTATCATTAATTAATTATGATCACACGAAAACGTGATTCCTCGAGATATCAAATAATTAATAATCAAGTAATTTATAAAATAAAATTACGAAAGAAATATTCCAGGTCATTATATCTTGTAATTGGATAGACATATGTTTTTAATTTACGTCATTAAAAATTACTATGTATTTATCTCGAACTGACGTATTATTATTTTTATCTTCTTTCATTTTGATCAAATACGTAGATAAAAGTATTTATATATCTTAGATTTTGTATACGTTTCATTTATCGTATCATTAATAAAAAAACGTGGTATATGTTTTCTTCAAGATATCAAATAAATAATAATTATGTAATTTATAAAATAAAATTACGAAAGAAATATTCCAGGTCATTATATCTTGTAATTGGATAGATATGTTTTTAATTTACGTAATTAAAAATTACTATGTATTTATCTCGAACTGACGTATTATTATTTTTATCTTCTTTCATTTTGACCAAATACATATAGATAAAAGTATTTATATATCTTAGATTTTGTATACGTTTCATTTATCGTGATATAATTAATTAATTATTAATAATCAAATAAAACAAAATGACTCTAAAGAAACATTCAACGAATCTCTGTCTTTTAATTGAATACAAATATTTAAAGTAAAAATATCTAACTTTTGTTAACATACTTGATTAAAAATTCATTTCAATTGAATGATAACATTTGTATAGTTAATTAATGAATAATTTATATTATTATAAGAAACACATCATATATATATATATATATATAATACATCTTACTTGAAATTAGATGAAAACATTTATCGAACGAGTACCGACACGATACACACACACACATACAATGTCTATTAAAGTAATAGAGAAATTGAGAGCTTATTTAACGATAAGTCGGTCTATTTAATAGTACATTCAAAGACTAAAGCTAATATTGAATAGAGGTATTAGAGATAAAACACATGTTATATACACCTAAGAAACAATTATGCTAAACCATAATTGTTTAATTAAATTTTAAACGTGTACGAAGAACTAACGAGTGAGAAACAAAAAAGAATAAAGTTTACATAAAAAGGTAAATAAAAAATAAAAAAAATAAAATAAACGAGCATACACTTATCTCGTTAAACTTTTGACTGAATTGATTTGTTCGTCAACGTGATACCTTTAATATTAAACGATTTGATTTCCGTCTCGTGTCAGACAAATCTATTCCCGTTAAACGATTGACTAAGAAAAAGGTAGGGATGATAAAATGAGAAAAAGGGTGATGGAGGGAGAGGGGGAGGGGGCGGGACAAAAGGAAGTAGATATATAAAGTAATCTATCAGATCGTATACGTGGAAAAAAAAGGAGATGAACGAGGGGAAGCAAAAAAAAAAAAACAAATGACATATTATCGAATAAGGGGGAAGGTATTATAAGAAAAGGTATATTTCGTAAATTTTGTAAAATTTCCTAAGTTTCCCCCATAACATTTTCTAACAAATTATTGAGTAAGATGAAGTGATGAGTCTTCCCACTCTCTTTCCTCCACCCCCCCATCCACCATCCTCCGTTAATCGAAGAGGAGGGATCACAAGGCAACCTTGGGTAATATTTTTAGCCAAGATTTTCTTCGTTAGCAATTTTCTCATTAATTGCCAAATTTCCAGTTGGATATTGGGCCTAGGAGGAAACAGGATAAATGAATTAGACCGCAGTGTGAAGTTACACTTGAATCTTCTATCTAGCTATTTCTATCTCTATCTCTCTCTCTCTCTTTTACATAGAGTGGACCAACCCCTATCCATTTTCACGTACGGTAATGCTTTGTCGGAATGATACTTATCGCTAACCATTCGGGTATACCCTAATGCTCTACAACGAGACTGGCAATTAAACCGTTAATTCACATACCTTTATCCTACACCCTCTAACAACCACCCACTTTCTCTTCTCCACCACCTCCTTTCATTTCCTATATTATCGTTCATTTGCATGGATTACATGTACAAGATGATCATTATGACATACTGATATTAAACTATGTTCAATATTCCAAAACACAACTTTTGGATAATTGTTTCGTTATTAATTTGTATATTTAAAAGTAGAATTATTTGTAAATTTAATTTTTATATTAAATAGTACAAAATTGTTTTGGAATATTAATATTTTGTTTAGATATGATTTGAATAGTGTAGACATTGATTTGAAAAGTAATGTTCTTGTATTATTTTATATCATTCTACTAATCCTTTGCTTCTTCCTTCTTAGTTCCTGTTTTTTTTTTTTGTTTCTTTCTTTCCTTCCTTCCTTCCTTCTTCCTTTTATCTTCTATACGTTTGATTAAAACTCGTCGGCATGAAGGCAGAAATTACATTTAAATTATACACGCTTAATCACAGCTTCGCTTCCTTCCCTTTCCTTCCTTCCTTCCTTCCTTCATTCCCTTTCCCTTCCCTTCCCATCTCTTCTTCCTACTCATACCAACGCGCGCTATCTACGATATTATTTATTATTTTATGGTGCGACGTGGATAATCAACGGGGTGTGTCAAATTTTATGGATGTGTTGGTTCGACGAGAATGATTGAGAGATTGAAGAATATACAGGTGATAATAAATTTTACGTTGCATTAATCAGCTGACCTCGCAATTGCAATCACTTTTCCTTAATAGGATTTTCTTTTCTTTCCCCTTCCCCTCTCCCACCAATTATAAACGCAAATATTATTGTATACTAATAGAGAAAAAGAAAGGTTGTTGTTGTTTTATGGAAAAATGCAAATGAAAATAAATACGATTAATAAAAATGTTCTTTTCATTTTGCTGAAAAATTTGTTGAATTAAATTCTTTAAAATTTAATAGATTTCTACGAAAATATTATAGAAACTTAATATATTTTTAATAAATTATTAAGGAAGAATAAACAAGAGAGAGAGAAAAAAAAAGGAAAGAACGAAAGACGAATCTATTCGTTTCTAACGCGAAATCTTCGAGAAGAAAATAAAAAAAAAAAAAAATGGGCGAATGCATCAAACGAAAGATTGGAAGGCATATTATGCAAAAAGCACTGCAGTTCCTACGTTAAAAGAGAAGGATTTTATTTCCTTTTTTTTTTTTTACAAATACATCTTGCGATTTCTTTCCTTTTCCCCCACGTACGTACGTACGTACGTATGCGCATATTTACGTAAGTATGTGTGCAGCACATATGATAAGCGCATTGGAAATGATGCTTTTCGGATGATGGATCGAACGAAATGGATTCGTAACGCATTGCATTTGCGCATTACCTGCAACCATCATGCATTTTTTTGTTTTGCTTTATTCTTATTACTTTCCCTATATACCAATGTCAAGGTCTCTTTGTTGGATCAATTTGATTTTATTCGAGATGCGGGAATGATGATATATATATATATATATTGCAATAAAAAATTGACTAACAATTTTCAACTATATGTATTTTCATTTTAAAAACGAATAATCGATATTTTATTACAAGTTACACGATCGTATCAATTTTCACGCGTTCATCGAATTCGGATATTTTTAATACTGCTACATTTTTTGTTTCTTTTTTTTATTTTTTCATTTGTTTTTGTTTCTCGATAACATAACAAACTTCGTAAAAACGTAAAATATTTTTGTATTAAAATACAGATCCTACTGTTTAGAACATACATTGATCCATCGTACGTGTTTTTACTCACGTACGCGTGCTTTGACACAAATCACGACAAATAATGGTCCTGATATGAAAAATAAAAATTAACAAAACGGGAAAGGTAAAAAAGAAAGAAAAAAAAGAAAAGGGTGGGAGGAAAAATAAAATAGATTCGTTGATCCGTAAAAATTAAATTACGTACAAATAAATTCAGGATAAATAGAATAACGAAACGAATGTGTTTGCAACGACATGATGTATGTTAGTTGATTATTATTGAATAAAAAAATAATAATAATTAATAACAAATTATATTATTTGTAGAAAAATCAATACGACGCTCGTTAATTATTATTAAAAAAAACAAAAAATAAAAACAATATATTTCTAATCAACGATAATATCTATCTAAAAAACTTATATATAACTGTAATTATATCAATACATATATATATATAATTCAGAAGAAAGAAAAGTTGTTAAGAAAAGAAGATTCAACTAACGAGGTTAAAAAAAAGAAAAAAAAGAAACGAAGAAAACTTACGTCTGTCGATGAAGCGAAAAGTTCCGGAAAAGCCCGTAGCATTTGAGGAAGATAACTCGGTGTGAAGTTCTAGTATAAGGGTAGATCTCGAGCTATACAAAATTTGAGGGATGTCGCGTAATTCGCCGCACAAAATTCCAGACCAGGGTGTATATTCCGAGACTCCTTCGTTTTCCAAATGAAGGAATACCTTTACGAAGTCACCCCTGGTACAACTGAAACAACCAAAATTTTTGTCTTCCCATATATTTGTTCTCACAAACAATACATATTAATTAAAATGTATCGAACAATTTTATTATATATTACATATACATATATATATATAATAATTAAAATAAAAAATCTGTGTGTTAAATTTAAATAATTAAATTATCGTGTTATTTTTTTTTCCATATGTTTCGTTTTATTTTTCGTTCATTCTAAATATAAACGATTTGATATATTATTAATGTATATATATTATTTACTTACGCGAATATAAAATAAAAGGATTTAATTGTAGATAGTTGAAAAATTTCTCTTTCGAATGAATACGCTTAACTCGTCGTATTCGACAAACGTTCGTTCTCTCCGGTGGTTCGTTTGCGACTATTATATATTTAACCTTTGTTAAAGTAAACCTATTGTTTACTACTCGGAATCGTCAACACTTTGTTATATATATATATATACATGTTTATATGATGCTAAACGTACAACTCGAATAAAAGCCACGACAGTTTACAATATTTATTTCAAGAATATTTTTATTTCAAGAGACACCACAGTTTTCTACAAAAAATTAAAAAAACCAATCTAAAATAAAGAAAAACAAACCAACGAATGAACGAATGAACGAACGAACGAACGAACGAACGAATGAACAAACACACGCGAAGAACATAGATAAGCATTGGACTGTGGAGTCGTGCAATCTTTTTTTCTTCTACCCTACACCCCCCCCCCTTCTTCCCCCTTCACCATCCTAATTTTACCCTAATGGATTGGAATAATTTCTGCGAGTGCGTTTGCGTTAATCCAGAACGTATTAAATGCAGAAAAAAACAAAAAGAAAAATAAAAGAGATAATAAAAAGTAACACGTATTAAATGCGTACTTTATTTTCAACGTTAATCTTTTGTTAAAACATTTATTTCAAGCTTCAAATTGTTCGATCCTACGGCTTATGTTCTTTTTTCAGTATTTAAAAATATAAAAAAAAAAATAAAAAATTGAAATATCTTCTCATGTATTTTAAAAGAGAACGGCAGACGCACACACGCACACACACACACACACACACGTATACGTCATACAGAAAGAGAGATAGAGAGAGAATCGAGTGTTTTTTCATGTTGTATAACTTCCAAATAGGTGGTTAACCTTTGATAAAAAAAAAATCAGAGCAGATTAAGGTTTACGCAATCATTTTTTTTTTTTTATGGTCGATGGAAAATGAAAGAGAGTAAGAAAAGAAAATAAAATAAAATACAATGAAATAATATATGAAATAAAAGAAAATAATGAAAAGAAAAGAAAAGAAATGAAAAATAAAATCTACGACGACGTGTCACGGTTCGCGCAAAATCGCGCGAGAGAGAGAAAGAGAGAGAGAGAGAGAGAGAGCGAGAAAAAAATTATTCATCTGGAAGAAAAAATCTCAGGACGCGTCAACGAGAAAATTCTTACGACCGAAGATCAAAGCCATTACAAATTCGTTGCTTTAAGAAGGGAAAACACACAAAAAAAAAAAAAGAACTGAAAGAAACAGAGAAAAAAAAAAGGGGTAGAAAATAGAGAAAAAAAAAGAAACAGAAAGATATGGTAGGAGAAGAAACGGAGAAAGATATTAAAGAAAAAAAGAAAGCCTCGGGCGTTTCCAGATCGAGATGATTTCTTTCCTTCTCTCTTTCTTTCTTCTGGAAAAAGAAAAATAGAAACAGGCCAAGAGAGAAAGAGAGAGAGAAATAAAAAGCTCTTCATTTTATCCAAGAAAAAAARAAAAAAAAAAAAAAAGAAAGGTGGGAGGGGGAAACATTTAAATCGATCCTGTCCCGTTCATCATCATAATCATAATAATTATTATCACGTATAATCAACGCGTATCTTTTTAATTAGATTACCAACAATCGTAATCAAAATAAATTAGGCTACTTTACATGGGGGGACGGGGAGGGGACACACACAAAAAAAATAAGAAAATGTATATAATTTAGCCTAATTTTTCGGATTAATTAGCAGGATGACAAGAGGGAAATTTTATCACTGGTTTAAAAACATACATATACCTAGTGTAACACGCATTAGGTATTTTATTTCATTCGTTACACGAATTATAATATTCCGTTATTAATTTCAATCAAAATGACTACGTAGCACTGTGAAAGAAATTAAATATTTTTATAAGAAAAAAGAAAAAAAAAAGAAAAAACTACCCGTTTTTGTTATCAAGAATTTATTTAAGTTTACGTGTTAGGGAAGAATGAAATTTTTCAAAGAAGTCACACTGTAGATACAACCCCTTTTCTCTCTATCTCTATCTCTCTCTCACTCTAACCTCTCGACAAATGACTTTTCTAACGAGCGTACAGGGAATACTTCTTCGAGATGTTTGCATTCTTACGATAGTTTAGGGAATAGGCATACTAGAACGACGAGTGCAACGTAATCCAGCGATAAAAATAAAATTTCATTCTGGAGATAAATAATAAAAGGGTGGGAGGAAGAAAAAAAAAAAAGGAAAAAAGAAAAAGTAGAAGAAGAAGAAGAAGAAGAAGAAGAAGTAACGAAGTTAGATAAAATCGAAATTTCGAAATGTTCATTAGTTTGAGTCCTCTCCTGCGAGACCTGGGTTTATAGTTTCTCGTAAAAATGGATCGTCAAATTTCTAAGAGAATCTTTCGAATCCTAATCGCCTCGTTTCAACTCATTTAATACTTAATCGAGTACGATTACACTACGCGTTGAAAGGTAATAACAGAAGTAACAGTTGTAACAGTAGTAGTAGTAGTAGTAGTAGCAGCAGCAGCAGGTGTTCGCAAGTTCCATCGTAGACGGATTAGACTTAAACCGAATTCGAAATGAAATTGAAGAAGGATTACGTTTAAACATACTAGAATAATATGTACACGTTGTTATTTTAAACAAAAATAATATTTATCATTTAATAAAACCGATAATAGAATATTCATCATTATTCAACAATTGTAATAACGTATTTAACACTCCCACACGTGCTTACATTTTTACACGAACATTTAACTAATATAAAATATTTACATTTTTGGAAAGTCTGTGTGTGATTCGTTCAATTAATCGTTGAAAAAAAAAAAAAGGTTAAAAACGATCTATTGTAATAATCCTCGCATTCTAATCTCTATATATATAAAAAAAAAAAGAAAATTATACACCCTTACGTATTGAGGGGAGACTCTAATTAACACGATCTCATTTAATACAATCCATTTGTCAAATAAATGAAATAAATTAAGGATAGAGTAATAAAAAAAAAAAAGAAACGCGAAGACAAAAAAAGGTAAAAGGAAAGAGACATCAAGCATTATGACACACTGTTTTATGAAAAAAGAAAATAAGAAAAAAGAAAGAAAAAAGGAAGAAAGTGAGATAAAAAGTGACAGAGAAAGAGAAAAAGAATTATGAAAAGATATATATATATATAGTTAAATATATAAAGTTATATATATATATAACCTAGGATTATTCATTTACATTTTTGGAAAGTCTGTGTGTGATTCGTTGAATTGATCGTTGGAAAAAGAAAAAAAAAGGTTAAAAACGATCTACTGCAATAATTCTCGCATTCTAATCTCTATATATATATAAAAAAAAAAAAGAAAATTATTCACCCTTACACATATTGAGGGAAGACTCTAATTGTCACGATCTCATTTAATACAATCCATTTGTCAAATAAATGAAATAAATTAATGATAGAGTAATAAAAAAAAAAAGAAACGAAGACAAAAAAGGTAAAAGGAAAGAGACATCAAGCATTATGACACACTGTTTTATGGAAAAAGAAAAAAACAAAAACAAAGAAAGAAAAAAGGAAGAAAGTAAGATAAAAAGTGACAGAGAAAGAGAAAAAGAATTATGAAAAGATATATATATATATATATAACCTAGGATTATTCAAAAGGTAGAGTAGACGATCCGTCATCGTTAGTAGAGATTTCTGGGGACATAAACTTATGCGAATACGAATACGAATACGAATGCGATATACGCTCGGTGCTAATCTCGTTCTTTAATTCCCTAGGTGAGTTTCGTGTAGGAAGAAACCAACAGAGGGGGAAGGGGGCGGGTGGGAGAGGGATAGAAAGGAGGACCTTTATGGTGAAGAGCCAACTCAACGTTTAACATTGTTAAGCTGAAACATTGAAGTAAGAGAGAGAGAGAGAGAGATAGATATAGATATAGTATCATAGTCCTTGAGTTCTACAAAGTAATAAGATAGGGATGGACATACCAAATTAGAAAGACAGAGAAGGACAATATCACATAGCCAGAATACTCTCAGGCTATCACCACTGGCTGGAATTTGGAGAAGATATTGGCTTTAACGTAGATACTCAAGGAGAAAGGACACAGGGTGTGAAATTATATATCCTTGAACGTAACAGTATTTCCTGTTATTTTATTCCTTAGTACTAGGACCTTCATTATTATATTCAATTAAAATATAATATGTGTTTATATTTTAATTAGAAAAAAAAGAGAAGAAAAATACGTAGAAAAAAGTTATTGTTCTATTTTATTATTAATTATATGATATCAACAACATATTCGTATAAATATAATATGAATATAACATATAAATAGGTGTGTGTATATATATATGTATGCTTTGTGATAATCATAATAGTAGCTCAATTAAATTTATTTACGAATACAAATAATTTCAAACGCGAAATAAATTCGTTTTTTCTAATTTTTTTTCAGAAGGAATTTATAATCCGACTGTGATAATTATTGTTATACGGTATAAGCCGTACGTTCCTTTTTTCTTTTTGTTTTTAATTAATATAAACATAAAAAACAATTTCTCTCTCTCTCTCTACCAGATATCTATTTCATATTATTAATAATTATTTCAATAAAACAATCGTGTGTGTGTGTGTGTATTTAAATATACAATATATTCAATCAAATATCATAAACTTCTAATAATTTTTAACGCGTTAACGTTAACATTTTTATTTTATTAAAAATA